TACCCCCGCGACCCGACCCCGGATAAGCGGTAGAAGACGGATGGATGGCCATTAAAGGATATGTTTAATGTCAGGTCAAATCCTTCACTTCAACGCCCTCCCCAGTCACCTCAGGTGTACCCCACGGATCTGTCCTCGGGCCCCTTCTCTTCATCATCTACCTCCTGCCTCTTGGTCATATCCTCCGCAAATTTAATATCCACTTCCACTACTTTGCTGATGACACCCAGCTCTACCTTTCCTGGAAGCCAAACTCTATTCTCCCACCCTCCTCCCTCACCTCTTGCCTCTCCGAACTCAAAACATGGTTCACAACAAACTTTCTTAAATTCTCATAAAACTGAAATCCTCCTCCTTGGCACCAAATCCACTTTATCTAAAGTAAACCGTTTCTCCCTCAGCATTCAGAGACTTCACATTCTGCCTGGAGAGCCTCGGGATACACTGTTTTGTTGACTTCCCCACCCACATCAAAGGCCACACATTGGATTTGGTTTGCTGCTCTGGTCTCTCCCCCTCCAAGCCCATTGCTGATGTTCTTCCTGTAACTGACCATTTCCCCCTCACTTTTAACACCGTACTCCGCCTTTCTACAATCAAAAACCCCTGCCTCATTTCTTTTCGTAACACCAAAAATATCAACATTGACACCTTCTGCTCCATTATCGACTGTACCCTGCCCCCAGACACTCTTTCAAACCCAGATGACCTCATTGCTCTCTACAACACCTGCCTCACAAATATTCTCAATTCTCTTGCCCCCCTGAAAACCTGGCCCCTCCCTACCTGTCCGACCTTCTTCAGGTGCATACCCCCACTCGCTCCCTCAGATCCTCGTCCTCCCTCCGCCTGTCAGCGCCCCCTGCCCGCCTGAGCACCATGGGAGCCAGAGCCTTCAGTCGCGCTGCTCCAAAGCTCTGGAACAGTCTACCTCCGGACATCCAAAACTGTACACCTCTCTCCACTTTCAAGTCCCGTTTAAAGACACACCTGTTCAGGACTGCCTCCAACACTTAATTCTTCCATTCCTCTTCGGCCTACCTCAAAAGTCCCTCCATAAAATTCAGCTGATTCAAAACGTCTCTGCTCGCATCATTACAAAAACACCCTCCCAGCAGCACATCACCCCCGTCCTTCAGCAGCTCCACTGGCTCCCTGTCCACTACCGCATCAACTACAAACTGCTCCTATATACATACATGGTGTGTGAGCTCTGTATAGCCATTTTTTTAGACGAAGAAAGTGCCGAGAGCCAACTATACGAAGCACGAAGAAGACAAACAGGATTTCGGCAAATGTTTAGCCATTTATGGGTGTGAGCCCACAAGGTTTGCGTGTATTTTATGTTAAATCAATTGTCTTCATGGTTTTGTCTTTTATTTGGTTTGTAATGCCACTTCTTTGGATGTTTCATGTTTGTGGGACCAGATCTCACGGGTTGCCAGGAATTAAACCCTGCATTTTCAATTGGACTTCGTGTTGTCACTCATGCCGCATCCTGAGAATGCTACATAAACATTTTTGTTACGTGTTTTAACTCTGCCTATATTTCTGGGATCCAAACACCATTTGGTTCATTCCCGAACCTTGTCAAGTCCTGCTTAAATTTATATGTGAGTGTGCGGTAATTAATCTCATAGAGACATGGTATGATTCGAATTTTTGAGCAGTCCATACCTTCCATTGCACCACTCGTGGAGGCAGGTGGTGATGGGTCTTGGTCCATAAGGGTTCTATATCGAATTGATCCAGAGCAGCTGACAGTGCTGCCACCATCCTCTGATCGAGAGTTGCGCAAACCCTGCTGTTTTGAAAAGGCAATTACCTAGAAAGGCAGATTACAGGAAAAAGTGACGTCATGTTAGTTTACTAAGGGAAACCCAAAACCCACTCAGCACACCTCCACCTTTACAACCAAGATTCAGTGTTTCAATGCTTACTGGGTTCTCAGTGTCAGAAAATACTTGACAGAGGACCCCCGCTATTTGGGGCAGCCCATGAATAGCAATAATCCATGTGTAATTGACAGCCATTGAAAGCATTGGGGGAGCAAAGTTTTTTTAAAGTCCTAACTTATAAAATACACTTCATAAACATACGAATGAATAAGTGTTGTCCATGAAAAACGATGAAAAATGCGGGAAAAGAACCCCCCCAAACAAACAAAAAATTATACATCTTGATTTAAATAGCAATTTCATAACAGCTAATACAACACATTGTACAACATAAAACCTCGACAATAATACAATTGTAACAACTGTTCCTACATACACCATGTTGTTAGAAGCAGTTACAGTATAGATGAAAGAGGAGACAATGAAAGTTTCTTTTCACCAATGGTTCAGAGACGTCATGATTTCAGCATGCATAACGTCACACACATTTGCTACAGGCTAAAGTTGAAAGTTAACAAGAAGCTGTAGCGTTCAATTAAAACCACAAGAGATTGGTTGAGGTCTTCTGTCACACCTTCGTAAATCCGCTTAAATTCCAAGCGCCAACACTCAAATCCAAATACATAGCCACACTCCATGCCAACGCTCCTCTCTCCTCATCCTCAGCTCGAC